AAATTCCATGCGCGCGCGGATGTCATCCATATAATCAAATCAACATGGCCTAATCGGCGTCTAGACAGGGAGCTTTTGTCACGAAATTCCGCTGGGCTTAAATACGTTTTGTCATATTGGTTGTTGCGGACTCAGACAACCCAGGGGTCTTAATTTATGTGTTAGGCCATGTTGATTTGATTATATGGATGGCATCCACGCACGTATGAATTCTCGTCCGTTATAAATGTTTTCGACCAGCTGGAAAATGGACAAGTATATATGCCGTAAATTAAAACAAAATATTGGGAAACGATACTAATGTCGTAGAACGCCAAAATCAATTTCAAAGGAAGGGCGAAAACACGAAGATATGAAAATAAAGAGTCTATTATTCCCCACACCATACTTTATGTGTTAAGTCATTTGTTCAACCTTTGTGACCGCGTAGATTTCATAACGAAGGTAACTTTTTTGCTAAGGCCATGTTGATTTGATTATATGGATGGCATCCACGCATGTATAAAATATTCTCTTTCGTTTCCAAAACAAATGTTTCTTACCATACTGCACGCAAATCATACAAAGCAGTAAGTAAGTGAAAGTATATATGTCGTAAATTGAAACAAAATATTGGGAAACGATACTAATGTCGTAGAATGCCAAAATCAATTCCAAAGGAATGAAAATGAAGAGTCTATTATTCCCCACACCATACTTTATGTGTTTAGTCATTTGTTCAACCTTCGTGACCACGTAGATTTCATAACGAAGTTAACTTTTTTGCTAAACACTTTTCTTATTCGCACGCTCGCATCAGGTTTGGCGTTCCCAGAGGATGTCATACATATAATCAAATCAGCATGTCCTTATGCATGTCATATTGGTTGTTTCGGCCTCAAAGACCACAGGGAGCTTTGATTTATGTGTTATATCAAGCAGGGGGCAAAACTCGTCCCTTGAAAATTGCATTCTCAATTGTCAGTGAATGATTTCGCAGACTCTAGTCCCTGTGGGGATTTTTACTTGCTTAGTCGTTATTATGTTCACTAATGGTATGTTATATATCGTACCTGTGGTCGTTTTGCGTGATTGCGATGTCTCGTAGAGTTGCGGCTGTCGCTTCTGTGAGCAAGGCAGCAACAAGCTTGTCTTTCTGTCTTGTCATCTGGAAATCAAGCTACAGTTCATGCATACAACACTTCAACCAATTCAATTTTAGGGTGACAAAACAAGAAAAACTTAGAAAAGTAACATTTGCAAAGCAAATGCATAATGTTTACCTTCGCATATGGTCTGCTCTGTTAATTCTTACTCAAACGCATTCATATCTATGGCCAGACAGGAGTCTAAATCCCTCCTGCTATAAAATTGCAACATGATGTAACCCATCGCTAGTTACCATGGTAACAGACAGTCTGGTTCAGGTCATTGACCTTTTTGGTTTGAAGAAGACGAAGAAGAGGAAACGTGGCAAAAACAATATGTTTTCCTTCGGTAAACATAAAAAGAATATTCTAGATGTGGAAATCTGTCGGATATTGACATTTACCGCCATTTCATAGTACATTTGATACTTGGAATGTTTGTAATAGTACGTGAGGCATCTCTTTATTTTTGGATACCACCCATAAATAGTTCCAATCAGCCTATGATACAAAACAAGCAACCGTTTTCTTTCAGTGACATTGTATTTTTGTCTCAAAGATATCAGTACGCTATGGACAGAATTGATTGAACTTACTACCTTAAAAGGATAACCATAAAATTGACGTTGTAAATCCAGTTTCGCCACTCTGAAATTGCATTGGATGGCTTTCCATCTATTCCAGCTACGTATACCAGCGATGGTTTCTATTGCATATTTACGATATCATGATTGCAAAGGTATTTCAATTAATTATACCCCACAATCAAGACAACTTTAATTGCGTTTAGGGATTAGTATGCCTGTTACAAATACACCATAAGGCAATAAACTGGGTGTTTTCATTAATTTTAGTAGTAAAATATCTGCTATAAAGCCTTTTACACTACAGTTTATAATGTCAAAGGTATGCGTAATTTAGAAAATGCAAACATAGCAAAGTCTACCTTGTTAGCGTTTTGTAGGTATAGCATCTAGTAATATACGTGTATGATTTTAATGATATAATTAAAAGATATACCCTTTGCTTCTACTAATATCGATGTTTTTACAGAATAATGTTTCATATTCACACGCCGATTCATATGGATTGACTTTTATCGATCGAACGAAGCTAATAAAGCAGGTTTGACATGAGCTTCAGGCGGCATCAGGCCTGCTTAGTTTTCTAAATTCACACCCTCACACAGAAAATGAAAGACTTATTCACTCTTAACTCCTGATTTTATATTGTAATGGCATCCAATGCATTTTCAGGGCGGCAAAACTAGAAATATTATGAACTAGAAAGGTACCATTCGCAAAGCAAATGCATAATGTTTACCTTCGCATATGGTCTGCTCTGTCTTACTCAACCACATTCACATATATGGTGACAGGAGACTAAATCCCTCCTACTTTAAAATTGCAACATGATGTAACCCAAAACCAGTTACCATGGGGAGAGACAGTCTGGTTCAGGTCATTGACCAGGTCAGAAGTCAATACGGAAGAAGGAGCAGAGCAAAAACAATATGCTTTCCTTCGGTGAACATAATAAGGCAATCTATATGATATTGACACATACTGCCCCACATTAGACATTTGTACCAGTATTTCATACTTTGGGCGTTTAAAACGGCACAGAAACAAGCCCTAAGACGAGCCCTTATTTTCTGGGTGGTACCCCAAAAATTAGCCGAGGGTCCTTCTAGTATAATTCTAAGGCATTTTTGCTCCATGTATGTCGACATACATTGGGATAGTGTCGCTTCAAGTTACTCATTATGTAGATTAGTGACTAGAATATTTTCTTTGAACACAGTGGTTTTAAGACCTAAAGACTGCTTTGGGTACCTTTAAGTGCCTCAAATATATGCAAAATGAAAACATTACCATCTTGACTATTCAACAGACTCCCTGATATACAGATACGACAGAGATGATAAGATCGTTCGTGTATGGCCCACCCTAATTTGATTTTATGGATGACATCCGCGCGCGCATTGATTTTCAGCTGTCCTCCCAAAAAAATCAACTCCGACGAGGCTCTGGCCCGGGTGCCATCCTCTGTAGTTCATGGTAGCTAGCAACAATAGGAAGCCAGTGGTAACCACGTTGGATGGCACCCAGGCTAGCCGGCTACCAAAGCTCCACGGAATTTAAGAACTCAGTACGTTACCGATTCATAAATGCCGCAAAAAGCCAGCATGTGCCGGCTTGTCGTAAAAGTCGCTATGAACTACCACAACTTCACAACACCAGCTTTTTATTCCTGTACTGTATGTGGTTTAGCAGCATTTTTTTCTGGCCGGATTTTTTATGCGCCCGCGCGCACTAGTTTGGGGGTCTTCAGAGGATGTCATCCATAAAATTAAGTCAGTGTGGCCTATTAAAAATGGGCGAAATTTTTAACTTTTAACTAACTACCTTTAAACAACCTTTAAACCTTAAAACAAGCCTAAATATACAAGCGAAGGAAAAGGAACGAAACATTTACGCAAGCTTTAAGGTGTGTGTAAATTTATGGATTTGTTCAGTGGAAACGAATAGTAACGTAGGGTCTCTGAGGGCCAGTCCGGGCTTACCTTATGCCTTTGGATATCGACCTCAAAGATAACAGTGTTTCCCTTCTGCCGGTACGCCCTGTCCTCTCCATGTCCAGCTCTCTGTTCTATATCTGTTAGAAAAAATGCAAAATATTAGTTATATATATATAACCTTTGGGTCCTCATAATCTTGACTGATACTATTTGTTGATATCATAATCTACATACGTTTGACACTGTTTCACGTATGCCAACCTTTTGCCACTCTAAGTGCAATGTGGTAATTTGTTACGTAGAAATCAAGCATCTTTGAGTTATGATCTATGATTAGACAGGCAACTTATTTGTGTACCTGAACAAAAAAAAATCAATTTCGAAACACTGCACCTTTCATAAACGGTTAACATCATGTACAGGCTGGTCTCATGTACTACATATCTCGCTGACTAGCACATACGTATCGATTGAACTAGTTCTACAACGAAAATGTGAAAAGACTTGGGGTCATTCGTGATATACGAGCGTTCATATCACATTTTGCTCAATATCTCCAATAAGGGTAAATATGAGCCACTGAACAGTGCCTCTAGCCTTCTAAACATGACAGACTCAGTCAGGGGAATGTCGTAGGGTTGTGTGGCGTAAACGGTAGCGTGTTCGGCTCAGAATCAAGAGGTCCCGGGTTCGAATCTTACCCATGTCACAGATCTTGTGCCCTTGGGAAAGGCACTTTACAGGACTATTTATGGTTACCGAAGAAAAACTACGTTTTTGCCACGTTTCATCATCTTCTTCTCCAAACCAAAAAGGTCAATGACCTGAACCAGACTGTCTGTTACCATGGTAACTAGTGCTGGGTTACATCAAGTTGCAATTTTATAGCAGGAGGGATTTAGACTCCTGTCACCATATATATGGATGTGTTTGAGTAAGAATTAACAGAGCAGACCATATGCGAAAGTAAACATTATGCATTTGCTTGCAAATGTTACCTGTCTAGTTATCATATAACACTAAGCAGAAAAAGCATTACGTTCCATTTTCTAAAGTACCAAGTTGAACTCGCGACCTGCGGAATGGAAAGTGAGCAATAGAGTCTAAATCTAGCCACCGTAGATTTCATTCACCTTCGAATTCTGAATGAGAAATTATCCCTCCCACGGACTGACGTTCGTGCAAAAATAGCTTGTTAAGTGCTTTATTTTTATACTAAAACCAAGGGCATCATGTCCTTGCTAAAACACATTTCATATATTTGGCAACCAGCCCTCTGAGCTTGCTACATAATGTAACCAAACTCCACCAACTAACAATCCGTACCCCGTAGGAAGGGAGGCTGGTAGTATACACACGTCTGGGTTTAAAGGCATCAAATGCAATTTCAGGATAGCAAAACAAAACATATCCTGGAAGGAGAAATATATCTGATATTGACATTCATTGTAATTTCTTAGCACGTTATTTAATACCTTAATCTCAGTTAATCTAGCCCTTGGACCACACAGTTCTGCCATCACTACAGCCCAGGGGGCTAGTCTACTGGTAGTAGTGTGTATTTAACTCCCCTACTCTTTCTCGAACAATGAGTGCTAAGCAGCGAAAGCAGTATGTACCATTTTACTCAAGTCTTTTGTATGTATGACACGGCCGGGGATCGAACTCACGACTTACCGAATGAAAGGCGACCACTCTACCCACTTGGCCATTCAGCTTATACATAATACTACATAGCAAAAATGACAAGAACACTTGACTTAGAAAATCACTGCCCTGACATCGCTTTTTGTGCGGCCTTTAACTAAAGATTCTGAACGTAGCGCCGTAATTTATATTGCAAACATGGCGAACTTGGTTTGGCCTTACAAAAATAACAAGAACACTTGACTTGAAAATCCCTGCCCTGGCATCGCTTGTGGTGCGGCCTTTAACTAAAGATTCTGAACGTAGCGCCGTAATTTATATTGCAAACATGGCGAACTTGGTTTGGCCTTACAAAAATAACAAGAACACTTGACTTGAAAATCCCTGCCCTGGCACCACTTTTGGTTCGCCTTTAAAGATTCTGAACGTAACGTCGTTACCCCGCGGCTAGATGTAATTGAAAACTAGAAGTCCAGAACTGATTTGTTACCGCGTCTGGCAATTACAGGATTGTGGCGAACAGCCGGGCCAAGTCTGGACGGCCTGTCTTAATTGTATACTTTATCACTATTGCACCTGAGGCGCGCGGAGTCGGAATAAATATGAGCCCTCATTTCTTTCCCCCATTCCACTTATGCTGAGGTCACATTTCCAAACCGGGGCCCGGCCGGGCTACTTCGATTAATGAAGAATCAACAATTTTTATTAAAAATATGAGCAAATAGTTCCACTGTTATTTCTTTTCAACTTCTTTGTGCTTCGTTGTCTTTTATACCATATTTTTCGTTTCATAAGACAGCCCGGCCGGGCCCCGGTTTGGAAATGTGACCTCGGCATTAGTGGCGCTTTCACGGCGCTCTCTCTGCGACCTGAAACTGGCCAGAGCGCGGAGTTGGAATACATTTGAGTCTACAAAGGGCTGCATGATGTTTTTATGTTTTCTTTATTCGTCTGAGGTTGACTATTAGGCTATTGTCAATGTAGTAGGCTATTATGATATCAAATTTAATATCGAGGTATTGACTTCAATCGTTCTTCTGATATGATGTTAATTGTAAAATTATGTCTAAAACAAAACTATATTTTGTTTGTCCTTTTGGATTTCTTTACTTTCTGGGTTTGGGCTCTAGTGTCTAGTCAGTTATTTTCATTTCCATAAGGTTGAACAAATGAGTAAACGAACGGCCTAGACTCTTCATTTTCAGTTCTTCACATTTTCCTTTGGAATTGATTTTGGCTTTATTCTACGACATTGGTATCGTTTTCCAATATGTCTGTTGCAATACTAGTATTCTTTTTGCAATTTACGGCGTATCTTTGCGCATTTTGCAGCTGCTTTGTAAGATTTGCAGTATGGTCGAAAAAATCATGTGCGCGTGGACGTCATCCATATAATCAAATCAACATGGCCGTATGTATAACACAGGGGGATATCATGTATACCAGAAAACAGATAATCGGATATTAGAGTTCGTCTTACACAGTCAAAAGACAAATTGCTTGTCGACGCAGTACGTCTGCTACTTTCAACCTTCCTCCGAGCTACAATCAGAGGATAATTGATACTTCTCACAACTTCTGTAGCCACCACATCCTTTGGGAATAGCAAACAGCGAAAGATCGATGATTAAAACACCCTTAATAGTCGTGGAGGCTACTACTTTCCACAACAGTGTAGAAGTTGATATTTTCCTTACTCCGGAGTTAGCTTTTAGGCCATGTTGATTTGATTATATGGATGACATCCCCTGGGAGCCCCCTAAACTGACGCCAGCGTGTGAATGAAAAAAAAAAAAAACGTTTCGCAAAGAAAAATAGTTGCCTTCGATATGAAATTTACGTGATCATGAAGGTTGAACAAATGGCTAAACGCACGAGTATGGTATGGTGAATAATAGACTCTTCATTTTCATTTCTTCACTTTTCCTTTGGAATTGATATTGGCATTCTACAACATTAGTATCGTTTTCCAATATAGAGATTCTTAAAGTAAACATATTGTTTTGCTCAGTTTCTTCCTCTTCGTCTTCGGTTCCAAAATATAATTTTGTTTAGCAATTTACGGCAAATTTTGCAGCTGTTCTGTACAATTTACAGTATGGTCGAAAACTTGTCTTTTTTGGGGAACGGACGAAAATTCATGCTCGCGCGGATGACATCCATATAATCAAATCAACATGGCCTAATTTTAAAAGCTAGACTAGCTGTTCCCTACCCTTGCGTTCTGGGTCATGAGCTTGTTGTGCCGTCGGGTATATCATCTGGGTCACACGTGTCATATGTCTAGACAGAAAGTATTATTTCCCTATTTCATTTTATTCACATTTATTTATTGAGGATTTGACAAACTGTAGTATGCGTTTAGAGGAATATTACGATATTATATGGATGACATCCGCGCGTGCATAAATTTTCGTCCCTTTCCAGAAAAAAAGGTTCTTGGCCATACTGTAAATTGTACAAAGCAAAATTGTGCAAAATGAGCAAATATATGTCGTACATTGCAAAATAAAAATATTGGAAAACGAATGCCAAAATCTGTTCCAAAGGAAAAGAAGAAATGTACAGAAATGAAAATGAGGAGTCTATTATTCACCATACATGTACCATACTCTGTGTGTTTAGTCGTTTGTTCAACCTACATGATCACGTAAATTTCATAATGAAGGCAATTTTTTTTGCCAAACTTTTTTTATTCGCACGCTCGCATCAATTTTGGGGTTTTCCAGAGGATGTCATCCATATAATCAAATCTACATGGCCCTACTCACCCCATAGACACATAACCTTTAACTGCTGAAGGTATTCTAAAGACCGGCGTAAAACACTTTTATCTGTGGTCTTACCCCAGAAATTAATAATGCATGTAGTTATATTTCAGTGCATACCATGGTATGGATGAAATATATTGTGTTCTCTCAGCAGTCATGTATTTGGCATACACCACTTCCAAATGACTCATTTGGGGGACTTTAATGGCTATTTTCAGCAAAAAAAGGGCCAAAAGTGCTGTACCCGTTCCATGTTCTATCTAAAGAATGGCCGGTTCCATCCATGGAACACGTGTTCCTGAGGTCACATTGCGGTTACCTGAGGTCACATTGCACCGAAGTGGTGCGTAATGACCCACACATTCAATTTTATTTGCCTAAGACCTTCAAAATGTATCAAATCTCATCATTGTTAGTTTTTGCATACCTGTGATAAGATTAGTAAAGCTTTCGAGATTCAAAGTACTTGTTGTTGCATCTTTGTTCTGATATAGCTACTGTTTATTTAATTCAGTTATTTGAGAACCTTTGCCAGTTTTGCACTGGGGTAAGTTTGGAATAGTCCACTTTTGCGTGGGAGGGAGATGGACTGAAATATGCTGTATTTGCTCCCAAGCAAATGTCGGCCTTTCTAGTTATTAGCTGTGATTACTTTTCTTTTCATCAATACAATGTATATCAGGATCGCTAGAGTCTGGGTCATAAAGGCAGATATTAAAAATACAGGATGGATAACAATAAAGAATGGGCCCAATCATGAAAAACGTGAATATAATATTATCACCAACATAAAGATAAAACGTTCATAATCAATAGGAATACGTAAATAAGACAAAGAGCATTCTTAGGTGACCTTAATAATCAACTATGATGTTTAGAAAGAAAAAATTCTTTTGAGGTAGATAAAAACCTGAAAGGTGCTGAGACTCAAAAGCCATTAAGTCTTAGGTGTTTCCTCAATTCTCAAAAAGACCACAAAATCACAATTTGGCGGTCAATTTGTGACTTTTTATCCTTGTGGTGGCCAAACGGAACTACAATTCAGGCTCTACAAGGGTTTAACGGTATAAATATTAAACATCCCAAGATGCAGAAATTCAGTGCATGCCTTTGCGAGCGAGTACGGTAATCGTTTTCAACATTTTGGATTCAGAACAACACCCGAGGGAAGGGGAATGTAATAGCTATATAAAACCCAATTCAAGGCTTTCGATCTGTGATAGACACTGACTTGAGAAAAATCCTGTCTGTATACCGGCATTATAACTGAAATAAAAACACTGGTAAGGTCTCTGATAGGTTTAATATGTGTTCATGAAGTGTATTTGACATACGTAATGAAACGACAAAATGACATCGATTTATTGATTTTTCCCTCTCTTAGGACCAGATTCATTAAAGTCAGTTTAAAATCAGAAATTGGCATACACATACAGCATGCATGTATACGCTATAGACTTATGTATATACGATACCTGATTCTGTTTCCTTCCACGTTTTGTTCGTAATGCATATTCTGATTGTAAGCTTTCGACAAGGCAACAATTTATAATATCTCGTATGTAGTACGGCTAGCTATATGCAGACATACACATACACCATACATATAGTATACGCTATAGACTTATATATTAGTACACTACCTTATACCGTTTTCCTTCCACGTTTTCTTCGCAATGCATATTCTGATTGCAACCTTTCGCCGCTCAGGCAACAGTTTATAATATCTCGTAGTACGACCAGCTCTATATGCAGGCTCGCCACGTCAATCGATAACGTACAATCACGGGAAAATAAGCGGTTGTGTAGAACAGTTCTTACCGGATTGTTTGAGCCTTCCTCCCGCGCAAATTGCCCATCGGTCCGATGCAAGCACCGCCGTTGTAGACAAGAGGAGGAGGATTACGTACACAGATATCCCTGCTCCTATGTACCAGCTTCTCCACATCATTTCGACCTTTGCTTCCTCATAGCCATTTCTGCTCCCGGGTTCGGGTCAAGATTTAGACGTCTTCTGTTATCACGGTACGACCGACATTCAGGACAGGTGCTACAGACAACCCGCACCGCAAGCCAGTCTCACTAGAAGTGTGGCAACAGTTCCCGTGCGCCTAACGAAGCGCTTCCACCGTCTATAGAACTAGGTGATAGAACTGTCATTATGCCTCATGTGGTGCGAACACTCGCGGTCCCTGCTAGCTCCCAGCCACAGGGAGATGTTGTATAATTACTATGCATAGCCGCGACTGAAAATGGCTCGGCGGAACGGTATATCAGATAGCCAATTACTTTTGCGGTTGATTGTCATTATTGTATGAGACCGAAACCAAATAGCCAGAAAGTCGGTTGCCCATCTATTATTGTACAGAAAGGATCTGGTGAATTATTGGGCGCTGGAATTATGGGGTTTTTAAGTATGTCTGTGGGTGTAATGGTAACAGGTGAATAATGGGAGGGGTCGGTTATTGTTCTTTGTTCTGGTTTAAGTGATTTATCTCTTATACAGACTGTTTAAAGGCGAAGGCATCATTTTATATTTCACCTTTTTATGGAAAATTTCCGGCCAAATTTCCTTTCCAACAGACAAACAAACAAACAAACAAACAAACACGTACGCACACACGCACACATACACACACACGCAGGCACATATACACAAACACACATACTTGTACACACACACACACACACACACACACACACACACACACACACACACACACACACACACACACACATACCCACTCACGCACGCACACACACGCACATACAGTACAGTACAGTCAATAATAAAACCATAGAGGCTTGAAATATCGTCGAGTTTTGTGAACAATATGCGCGATTAAGGCATTCAAACCGCTGAGTGCCTATTGCCCCCATCTATATCTGTATCTCTATAGCCAATATAACTGCCCTTTTGCGTACATAACCCACCGGTGGCCAGCTTCAAATTGTTTCTGGTTACATTACACGTAACGAACAGTCCCACCCAATCTTTTCACGTCTAACTCAAAACGTTATATCAATGTATCTTATGAAGATAGGGCCAGAAACAGGAGGGAGTGGAGGGGGCTGATACTGCCTGCCACCACAGTCTCCGACCCTCAAACATGAGGATGGGACTTGGTAAAGGTAAAGGTATGCACAAGTCTTCAATCAACGAAATTGTCCTCGCAAAAAAGCAAGGATTGTTACTATAACTGTATGAATCGTTGAAGTGTTGTATCCATGTTACTGCGTTGGAAATGTCAGTACTTCTGTTTGTAAAGGTCGCTGCTGACTTTAGTATCAGTCGCATACGGCAGGAAAGGTCTACAGCATTACGGGGATTTCTACACTATCTATCTAGCCTGAGTGTCAGCATTTTTAGCTTTCGTCCGCTCCCCAATATCCGCTACCGGATTTTGGGGAGCGGACGAAAGCTAAAAAGGCTGACACTCAGGCTACTATCTATCTTCTATGTCTTCAACAAAACCTCCCCACATGCGTTTGTTTCTTGAAATTTAACAGGATAGTATTCCGTTTTCATGTGGCAATGAAAATAGTACCCGATAAATGGCATGCATATATCACAAGAGCCTGTTGTAATAATTGCTGCAATTTTATGTTAAACTGCTAGTCGGCGCTTTTGAACGGTCGAAAGTGGGCTCACACTAGTTAGGCCACACCAAGTAAATTTTATGGATGACGTCCTTTGGAGACCCCAAATCTAATGCGAGAGGGCGAAAAAAAAACAAGAAGGGCCCTAAAAACAAGATGCCTAGATTAGAAATATACTAAGAGACGACAAATGTTAGGACACAAATTGAATGAGGTGACACAGTGTAACAAGCAAGAAGTCTTTTCTTCATCATCAAAACAGCAATAAATCAGGAGGAACAGTGGACAGGGAAAAATTTTCTGTTATTGACAGGATGGTCCTGTCAATAGACACTTTCTTCGCGTTACGCGTTGCGGGTTTCACGTCAATCTGACGATTTGCGACACCGTCGTGACTCTTTGGTCATAGTAAGTACATAGTTACAGGAAGTGAAATTTCTTGTTTTTTTTTCTAGGAAGAGGCCAAAATCAATGCGCGCGCGGACGTCATCCATAAAATTTACTTGGTGTGGCCTTATAGCTGGCTGTTACAACTTAAGATTCTTGCTCAAAAAGCGAGCGCGCGCGATGTGGTTTGCACCATATATAATATATGTTTTACTATGAGGATGGCTTTCAGCACCAAGGACAGGTACCGTTTGCATAGAAACATGTGGTGTCGAGGCTGATTGAATTAGCAGATTCCGGCTACTATACTTTGACCAAATTGAATACTTATTGCTGCTGACACTGCCTGTGTGTTATTTTGACACAAACTAGTCCGAAATTTTGAGCAAAGAGCCATTATTTTTCTGTGGGGATTGATTTTTGGCGGTAAAGTAGTTGTGGTTATCAGGGTAAATTAGACCAGCTGTTGCGCTAGCCTCCTTCGCAGACCTGTTGGGCTTTGCCGCCGAGGGAGTTTTTGCCGTGGAGGAAAGGTTTCCCTTGTATGGAAAAAAATTCCCTCGGCGGCAAAATCGTCCCTCCGCGGCATAACTCGCGTCGCTCACCGAAAAAATAATTTTGCTCCGCCCAACAAGTCTGCTAAGGAGGCTACTGTTGTACACAGCTGTGTAAAAGTCACATTGGTACGGCCCAATCATGTCTGCATCTGTCGGAGCCACGCGGGGAAGACCAGGAATTATTTGTCAACTTTTTGGTAAATTTTCGGCTTCCAGTTCGAAAAATATTCATTCTAACTTGTAGAAGAAATCTCCGGGGATGTTTCAATGGCGGAGTTGTGCCGTAATCTGGATTTTGGGCGAAGAAATTGCGGATTTCCTGACGTGGTGGATTTTGGAGAAGACGAGAAAATGGCGCCCGAAGGATGACGGCGTGGTCGTGGGGAGGGCTGAGTTTTCACAAGGTAAGGCAACAAGCCGTGCCGTAGAATTTATTTCCCACAAACTGATAACAACAAAAAATTGACGTTTGTATCTGTATACCTGGTCTAATAATTTTGCCCGTTGTCTGTGAAACAGAAAGGAAAAATGGGTAGAATATTTGTGAAAATTTCCCTGATGGAAAACACTAGAAAATATGCCTATCGATATGCATGCAACATTTCATGCAAGAAACACCACTTTAACTTGTTGTTTCTTTGATTTGCCAGGCGTTTTTCCTGATTAAAAAGATGTACTTGTAACATTCAGGTTCTGTGTCAATCCCAAAATCCTCATTTTGGACCCTAAAGTCTGTTTTTTAAGCTTCAAGAAATTTAGGTATTAGATAGAAATTCTGTAATGTTGTTACATGCATCTGATTTGTTTTTTGTTTAATCGCAGAACCAACTAATTAAACATAGAACATTCTCAAGTTCATTAAAAAAATAAAGCTCTAAATTTTATGTACATTGTGCAAAGTTAGTGTAATATTCACATACATGACATTGTGTTAAATTAAACCAACTGTACAGAGTACCCTTGAGTGTCTACAAATGCATACCAAGTCTTAAACGTTGTTATATGCACAGTCTCCTGGGTACAATTATTCTCATCAATACCCTAAATTGATTATTCTTTATACAGTTGGGTGATTGAGTGTTAGCTGTATGTTTCAAACATGACTTTTAAGCTCTTCAAGAATGGCATCAAAAGTTTCTGGTCTACTAGTAGTTGTTAAGCTTTTTATTGTCTGTGTATGACAGGGCTGATAACACCTTACAACTTGACCTTGTTTTTATGTGATTCTGTAGTTAGCTGTGTGCTGAGGGTTTGCCAGCTCTGTAAGTGTTCCTGTCCAGATGAGATCAGACTTGTGATGGCAGAGTCACCAGGTGATCGGATACAGGAGTATCAGGCTAGGTGAGGAAAATTGGAACTCTACATTTTGCGTACCATTTACTTGATTATTTGAGACAAGTGTGTAACTTGGTATCTCTACATAGTTAGGTGCCTGCTGACTGATGCAGTAGTGATGATTCCTGTCTGAACCTGACAAGACTGGATTGGACCAGACCAGACCAGGCGACGCCAGAAGACCCTAGAAGAATATCAGGTGAGAAAAATCTTAATTCTGCATTTTGCAAATTCTACTTGCTTTGTGTATTTGAGGAAAGTGTGTAACTTGTTATATCTGTATATAGCACTTGGTAACGTTTTTCTGTTTCTAATATGTCAGAATTACAGTCACTGTAACTTTAAAGAAATAACACACAGCCTGGATTTTTTTATCAATATTTCAGCATTTTTCATTTTTCTACATCAGATTTGTTGATAAGCAAAGGGTTCAATTGTTCAAGTTTCTTATCTATAATTCAATAGCCATTCAGTGTTGAATGGGAGAGGTGTTTGCATCCCACTAATTATCCTTTCATTATTACATGTAGGTGTGTCCTGACGTTCCTGTGCTAACTGGGAGAAACCTGTGATGACCGGCGACTCCTGTCCAATGCAGACCAAATGAGAGATTAGCTGACCAGTTGACTTGAAGACACAGAACATTTGAGACACAGCACAGAAGAAGACCAAGACGTTGAACTGGTAAGTTTGTATTTCCAAACATACATTTGAAAGGTTGACATGTTACGAAGATAACCTACATAGTGCCATCAGTGAAAGTTTTGTCTGTATTACTAAAAAAATTTTGGGGTTGGCTACAGCTTTAGTTGGTTTTATTTGCAAATAGAAACAATTTTCTACCAAAATATGACAGTTTGGATGTTTCCATGTTTTTTAATTTCAACTTTACAGCATTTTAACTGAGATGGACTGATGCTCAGTCAACAGACAATGCAAACCACACTTCAGTAAGACTTTTACATGCCTGACACTTTCCAAACAAAGTATATATCAGCTATATATTCTTATGGTTAACATATCAGCATTGCTTGAATGTCATTGATACTTAGTACAAATTAGCACTGATATATGTATAAACTTAACGCTCCCCAAACATAACAGGAATGATTTATCTTGTGTCAGATTCTACAGTCTGATAGATCAATGAAGAAAAGTATTCTGCATTGTATTTATTCTTGACGATGAAATGTTTCATATCTTGAGGTTTTGCCCACTTTGTCTCAATTCAAAGACAGAGAAGTCAAATTCTCCGAAGATAGAAATAGATTATAGCACATCTTTCTGACGACTAAAATTGTTTTGCCTAGACTGCATTGCTTTATTGAAAT